ACATGGACATATATAGAGAAGTATACATAAATACACGTATCATATATATTTAAATTGGTATGCATATATGGATTTGTGTACTGTTACTATTTATGGATCAAAAATGGGATAGTAATGTCTTTGATTTTGGCCAAAATAAATAGAAAGTCCTTATTTTAAATTTTTTTTAATTATTTGTTCATTCTGATTTTACTTATTCCCTTTATTATATAACTTCACAGCTTTTTGACTGACACTTCAGTTTCTCCACAGTGTTTTCTGCCATCAAGTGTTCTTGTTACTTCTTAAAAATTACAGATCTAACCCTGGGTTTTTTCCCAGCTAATTTTTTTTTTCCTTTCCTCTGCCTCATGTGTTGGATTTTAAGAGCAGTAAACATGGAAGTGCAAAGTCGAGCTGGGTCTAAGAAGTAGGGTGTATCATCCTCTTTCAGTGAAATATAAAAACAGACATTTCTGCAAACACAAAATGCTATTTGACATTTTTGTTATCACCATCAAAGACATTCTAGGATATTTTATCCTACAACTCCCTAACTTCCTGCATTTTATTTCTACTTCCAATTTTTGAACTTACTCTTTTAGATATTTATTTCTGCACATACCAGTTTCATGACAATCACATTATAGGCAGGTATTCACTCTGTCTAAATTTAAGCATACCACAGAATCACAGAATCACAGAAAGGCAAGGGTTGGAAGGGACCTCGGGAGATCATCTAGTCCAACCCTCCTGCTAAAGCAGGTTCTCCTAGACCATGTTACACAGCACTTTGTCCAGGCGGGCTTTGAATATCTCCAAAGAAGGAGAATCCACAACCTCCCTGGGCAGCCTGTTCCAGTGCTCTGTCACCCTCAAAGTAAAGAAGTTCTTTATCATATTCAACTGAAACCTCTTATGTTTCAGTTTGTGCCCATTGCCCCTTGTCCTGTTGCTGGGCACCACTGAGAAGAGTCTGGCTTCATCCCTGTAACACCTACCCTTAAGATATTTGTATGTGTTGATGAGATCCCCTCTCAGTCTTCTCTTCTTCAGGCTAAACAAGCCCAACTCTTTCAGCCTTTCCTCATAGAGGAGATGCTCCTGTCTCTTTATCATCCTAGTTGCTCTCCCCTGGACTCTTTCTAGGAGTTCCTCATCTTTCTTGAACCGGGGGGCCCAGAACTGGAGTAGAGGGGGAGGATAACCTCCCTCGACCTGCTGGCCACACTCCTCTTAATGCACCCCAGGATACCATTGGCATTCGTGGCAACAAGGGCACCCTGTTGTCTCATGGTCAGCTTGTTGTTCCTCTCCACCCAACTCTCCAGCCTGTCCAGGTCCCGCTGAATGGCAGCACAGCCTTCTGGCGTATCAGCTACTCCTCCCAGTTTTGTGTCATCAGCGAATTTGCTGATGGTACACTCCGTCCCCTCATCCAGGTCATTGATGAGTAAGTTGAACAAGACCAGGCTGAGTGTTGAGACTTGGGGAACCCCACTAGTTAGAGGCCTCCAACTAGACCCTGTGCCTCCAGTCAGAATCCTCTGAGCTCTGCCATTCAGCCAGTTCCCAATCCACCTCACTGTCCACTCATCCAACCCACACTTCCTGAGCTTCCCTATGAGGGTGTTATGGGAGACTGTCAAAAGCCTTGCTGAAGTCAAGGTAGACAACATCTGCTGCTGTCCCCTCATACCCCTTAGTTCCTTAAGAATACATTTACATTACATATTTAGCTGGTTCAGAATACTGGGCTGAAGCCATAGCCCACTGTGTAAACTGAGACTCCAAAACTCTTTTGGTCCTGTGGAACCATTCACTCTGAGTAGAATTCCAGCTGGCAAAATTCTGTCTTCCAAGAGGGGAGGAGGAAAAATATGTAACCTGCCTCAACTCTAAGCTGAATAGGAGTTTGTTAGGTAATACCATGCCCTATTATCGTTCTTCCCACACTGGTCACCTTGCAAATACACGTTTGACGATGGACAGTGAGATCAGTATATTTACAAAGCCAAAATCCAAAGCTTGGGTCTAGGCTTAATTAACAGTGTAAATCTAGCCTAAAATAGGAGCTTAGACACTCTTTACATAGTTCACAGAAAGGGCAAGATAATTTGGGACACCAACCTGAAAAGATTGTTCTTCTCCCTTAACTATACTTGAAGCCTGATTTTCTCCCCGAGGCACTTGAAGTGTTTACTTTGGAAAGACAAGCTGAGTATTACTCTTTTGTTTGGTTTCTTCCTTTACTGATTTTTTTAAAACCATGGTTCCACTGGATTTGATATCTAAAGTTTAAATTTAGCCTATCATTGATTCCTCTCTTTCTCCTCCTCCTCTATGTAGCCTATCAAGTCCTTTCATGAAGCAATTCTGTACCCACTTTTCCTGTTTCTTAGCTGAGTTTATAATCCACAATCTGTTTTACATTTTTTTCCCTCTTTGTTCTTTCAATCTCTTTCTGCCTCTCTCCCTTTGGCCTTTCTGTTTCTCATGCTTCACCTTCCCCACATTTCATTTGTGCTTTCCTCTGTCTTTCTGGCTTCTTATTACTCTTTCATATTCCATACTGTTTTATGGCCTACTTGACAGGGATATTAGAATGACTGTTAGTTGAAATAATAGTTTTGGATCCCACAGTTTACCCTTTCTTTTCTGTACTTTAGCAACACTTATTCCAGACACTACCACTACCATAGCTTCCACTCATCTTCCATTGACAGCACTGAAACTGCCTGACATGTGACTTCCTACACTATGTGCTTTCACTACAAGACCTGCCAGTTTCATTTTCTCATTTCTTTATATATCAAGTTCTACATGCATAGTTCTATTGAAAATTATATGAAGACAGAATACAGTTAATTGTATTGCCTGGTTGTGACTTTAGTTACAATGAGGTACATCTGAATTTTTTTTGCTGATGTCAACAAAAAAGCATCAGTCTAAAGGAACGGTGCCTATTTCTAGTCTTGTGTACAAAATACAACTCAAACAGATCTAGCGTTATCACTACATGGATAGAATGTAACACATAATTTAGAAAACAAAAAATATTTCTTACTGTAGATTAATTTCTCATGACAAAGGGCATTTACTAAAATAATAGCTTTATGGAATTCCTGGAAAAAAATATTCAAACAAGAAAAGCAAATGAATTCTATTAGCTAAACCTCTCAGGAAATAATACATCATGATTCCTAAGCAATTCCAAATAAAGAAAAAAAAAAACATCTCTACTGCTTCCCAAAAATTACATTTAATCATTTTCATCATCACCAGTAAAATCCCAGTTTATACTTTTTTCCTTATTTTACATGCTATTTAGAAAAAAAACCAATTTCTACAACACGAAAAATTCAGAAGTGATTCCACACAAAACCAAAAAACCCTCAAGTGGTCAAATGCCTTCTGTGTTCCCTTTTTTATCCTGTAGAGAATATATCAGTTTTTCACCAGTCATATAACCTCAACATACCTGAACAGCTTTACTTAAACTATAAAGGTATTTTTTAAATCTATTGACCAAAAGCATCTATAGAATTATCAGCCCAAAATGACACATATTTCTGAACTGATCACAAAGGGGTTTCAATCATGACTCCATCTCTCTTGTCACTGGGAAAATTTTTTTCTCTATCAAGCATTTCCTAATGATTTATTAATACTTTCCTGTGTAATAGCTGAAGTTGTTGCATTTTTACCAACCTTGGGAACAGCACTGAAAATAATAATGGATTCTGTAAAATTCTGAAACACTGGTAAAAAAGAAATTACATGTATTTCTGCAGCATTATAATTAAATTTAAACTTAGGAAACGATTTCAAATCACAGAGCCCCTTAGTGACATGATGCCATTTGACATAGATTCCCATCAGCACTTTTTATTGTAAGACAGTCTTTATAGCAAAAATACATTGTGCCAGCCACTGTAAAAATGCATATTATGATATGTGTCAAATGGCAGGAGAAAAAAAAAAAGCATCTTCATTTTGTGAGATTGATACAGTACCACATTAAAGGACTTGCTGCTGATTGTAACTCAGGAGAAGGGACATGATAACCTACCATGTCTTTTCCATTTCCATTTTTCATGATGTGATGATATCACACCAGGCAATTTTAGCAGAACAGATAATTAGCAGTTCAGTTTTCTATACCTTATACAAGTTATATTCTGGTGGGTATATCCTACAGATTCTAAATTCCTTTCTTTAATTGAGAAAATCTCATCACTCTACAGTTAAGAATAAAAAAGGATATTTATGAAATATCACAAAAAGCACTTATTTAATTGATTAAATCAGAGATTCTTTTCTACTGTATGTATATGATGTATGTAATAGACTACTTTTTTTTTGCAAGGAAAGAAGATAACTGTCTTGGGCTTAATTTAAATAGTAATAAAAAATCCCCATTCAATATATATTTATTTGAGTAGACAACAGGGATACAATGTAGCTTGATTAATGCTGACAGTCATATGGTTAATGCTATTAAAGAAAACCAAAACAAAATAAAAACTAGCTTAGCTGAAAAACAGGCCATGGGAAAACATGCTCTCAGTCATGATGAAACTATTGCTATAAATACTTTTTAAAGTCAGTCATTCCATCACTGACACAGTGTTTAGCCTTTATTTCCTATCATACTGGATAAATGAAAACACATAAGGTTTAGATTAAAAATAAATAATACTTTGATGTTTGATAAATAAAGATGTTCTTTTTCAAAATTGGTGCATACAAACCTGAATTAGCTCACTAACCCATGTAAGTTTCAGGGTTTCATTCACTGTTCCTCTGCCTTTTCTTTGGTTTTTTTTTTTTTCTTTTTCCCACTATTATTATGGTAAATAATAAAAAATTATATATATTCTTAGAGATAAAACAAGAAAAATATAATGAGTTATTGCTATTCTTTAGAGTACTATGACAACTTAAAAGGACTGAGATTTCCACTACAAATTATATATCTCAAAAATGTGGTGTCTTTTTAAAAATATTTTTTTCCTTACCTAAGCCATGCCTATGTGTTGACATTGGTGGTAACACAGTCCAAGCCTTGGTCTTTGGATTGTAACATTCAACAGTGTTTAATGTCTTTAAACCATCCCGGCCTCCAATGACGAACAGCTTGTCGTCGATGACAGCAACACCAAACTGAAGCCTCCTGCCATTCATCACTCCAGCCTGTATCCATATGTTTGTTCTGAGATCATACTTCTCAATAGTTGTAGCACCTGATGAGACATAATAATAGGATAATGTATATAAAATGTATACAAAAATGGCATTGGCTCTTTTTTTTTTTTTATCCTAAAAGTGTAAAAACATTAGTATTATTTTCTGTTTGCTTTCAACATCTTGACAAATATTTTCTGTTTCTTTAGATAAAGTAGTCCCTGGAATATATATATATTATATATATATATAAAATTTATATCTATATACATTTTTTTACCCTCCCCAAAAAAAGGGGAAAAAGAACCCCAACCTTAAATGGCCCCTGTAGAATCAAGGCATTGCAAATCTGAATTACAGTATGCTCTTTATGATCTTTTTTCACAATTCAGTGGCATAACCATCTAAGATTACTAACCTTGTTACACTTCATTTCAATCTTCCATAAAGCATAAAAAAGCCTTTGAAATTACATGGTATTTTATCAAAGATTAGAACTTGTATTTTAATTTGGTTTCATATTTTCTTTCTTATTTTAAACCTATTTTTAGCTTTTTTCAGACATGTTTCTGCTGGAGGTACAGAATGTTGTACTTAACAACTTCAAATAAAATATTTAAAGAATGTTTCCATATAGAGTCAGATCATTTCGTTCTGACTTAGCCATTTGATTTACTTTCACAGATGAATTCAAAAGGTATAAAGAGCATTATGTATAAAATAACTTACCAGTTAATCATTAAAAAGTCATTAAGAAGCCTCTGCTAGTAAAAGTAACTTGTATGTAATATACAAAGATGAAAACCAAAATGAAGAGTTTGTTAACAAAAACCAGAGTGTATTTGGTTTACATGGTAAGGTTTTGGTAGCAGGAGAGCCACAGGGCTGGCTTCTGTCAGAAGCTGCTAGAAGCTTCCCCTATGTCCGATGGAGCCACTGGCCAAGGTTGAGCCCATCAGCAATGGTGGTAGCACCTAGAGAAGTGAGAGGATGTGAGAGAAACAGCCTGGCAGACACACAGGTCAGTGAAGAAGGAGGGGGAGGAGGTGCTCCAGGCACTGCAGCAGAGATTCCCCTTCAGCCCCTGGTGCAGCCCATGGTGGGGCAGGCTGTCCGCCTGTGGCCCATGGAGGCCCATGGGGGAGCAGATCTCCACCTGCAGCCTGGGGAGAACCCCACACCAGAGCAGCCAGATGCCCAAAGGAGGTTGCGTCCCTGTGGAAAGCCCACGCTGGAGCAGGCTCCTGGCAGGACCTGTGACTCCACGGAGAGAGGAGACCGCGCTGAAGCAGGTTTGCTGGCAGGGCTTGTGACCATGTGGGGGACCCACACTGGAGCATTCTGTTCCTGAAGGACTGCACCCTGTGCAAGGGACCCCATGATGGAGGAGTGGAAGAGTGTGAGGAGTCCTCTCCCTGAGGAGGAAGGTGTGGCAGAGACAACATATGATGAACTGACCGCAAACCCCATTCCCTGTCCCCCTGTGCCACTGAGGGAAGAGGGAGGAGGTAGAGAAAATTGGGAGTAAAGTTAAGCCCAGGAAGAAGGGAGGGGTGAGGGGAAGGTGTTTTAAGATTTAGGTTTTATTTCCCATTATCTTACACTGATTTGATTGACAATAAATTAAATTAATTTTCCTGATTCAAGTCTATTTTGCCCATGATGGTAATTGATGAGTAATCTCTCCCTGTCCTTATATCAACCCAGGAGCCTTTAATTATATTTTCTTTCCCCTGTCCAGCTGAGGAGAGTGATAGAGCAGTTTGGTGGGCACCCAGCATCTCTGTCCAGCTGAGGAGAGGGAGTGATAGAGCAGTTTGGTGGGCACCCAGCATTCAGCCAGGGTCAGCCCACCACACAGAGAGATAAAGGAATCATAATTAACTAGATTCCGGAAAGTGAAAGAATAATGCATCCCATTAGTTGCAATGATCCAAGTAGAAAAAAACATCATGAAAGGAGTAGTTTTGTTAATTGAACTAAAAAAGATATAATTTAAATTCAATTGGTATCTAAGTGTAGCAGGGCAACAATAATGTGCAATTCAACTGGATGTATTAAAAACCCTGCAAGTTTTATGAAGCCATAAGATGTATGAAGCAATTTTTGCGTTCGATTGAGACATATTTATTTTTCTTTTTGCCCCTAATTTAAAATTAAGAACTGTGTAAATGCATTAATCTTTAGGTTAGAAAGAACAAAAATACAGATTATTTGATATGGTTCTTTGGTGGCACTGCAGGACATATTATAATGATGCATATTAATAAAGTTATGTTATAATGCTTGAAATTTTTTATATGTTGAATCTAGTCATGCTAAATCTAGAACTGTAGCATATGAGTTCTATAATGTTGTCTACTTCCATGGCAAAGAGTACAGTTTAAAACCTTTGTCATTCTGATTTCAGAACACCTTACTAAAATAACAAATACAGTCTTTGAATTATGCTCAGCTATGTACTTTCTGAAATTGGTTAAGTCTGAGTTTGCCACAATGTGTTATAAAATTATGTATTGAGCATCTAATCTAGCAGTTCCTGGAGTGCCTGAATTCTGTTTACCTAGTAAGGTGCCTTGTTAATATGTAATATAAATATG